TGAGAACTGTACATTGTCAAACACGATAAAAGCTACAGAAAACTACAAGTAGAGTTTTGCTTGAGCTGAAGAGCTAATCCAAAACCAAAATAATCCTACAACTAGTGAAAGAAAATGAACAGAGGTTATCAGAAGTTAATTAGTTGTTGAACTCTTGCCTGTGTCTTCAAATTTAATGTTTCTTAAACAGAACTAAAAAATCTTGAGCAGGTAAGATTTCATGCAGGGGTGCCCTTTGACAAATGTGACACTAGAGTGAAAAATGGTGAAGTTATTTTCCTGTCTTGTTGAATAGTATGCAACTCTATCAACACTGCCTGGAAGTGTTGAGCACTCAGCTGGACTACAGGATATAGATGTTTCACACTGGGGAAGATTTTATGTGTCTTATCCTTATTAGGGGCAGTCAATTCATAGTCACTGACATTACTGTTTAACATGCATTAATAGTGGAACAAGCTCTGAGGTTACTTCTAGTTGTTTGCACAGCTCTTCTACTAAATGCCAATACCATGGCATTTATATCACAAACCTTTACAAGAACCTACTTTGTTTTATGTTAGCAAGCAATAAACAAACATTTAGTCAAATAGACATATGAAAATGAATGAAATAGTTCGTATTGTCCAAATTCCTTTAATTGATTAATTTTACATCCTTTTGTAAAGGTAATAAGTATGTTCTTGTCAAGCATTCCTGGTAGATTTACTATATTTTTTTTCTTGGAGGCAGCTGGAAGATGCTGTGCATACTTTAAGTTTTTCAGTTTTCTGCTTAGTTTTTCAGTTTGTAGATAATTACTGAAGCTGGGAGCAGATTTTGCTGAGAAAGACATCACTACAAGAAGACTATAAGTTTGTCTGAGCAGTCTTTGAAGAGAATATTCCATTTCTATTCCATCCTGGTTTTGGGAGGTCTTGGTTGTATTGCAAGGCACTTTCTAAAAATAAGATACAAAAATGTGTTGTCTAGCTCTAGATGGGAGTATGTGATGAGTGCAGATGTGTATATGATATGCACAGGAAGAATAAGGCCAAGCATTGGCATCTCAGTACTGTGGGAAACAGAGCAGAGTAAGTGATCTTTCTGGCCTATAAATCTGACTGGAGTTATATTTGCTAACAGTCCAACTGTAAAAACTTCTGGGAAAAAACAGCAGGAAGCTGACACTTGTCTAGCATTCTGACTAACGTAAGTGCCAGCTAACTCATGTTCAGGAAACTTGGGGGTTTGTCCTATTTTCTTAAATGTATTTGCATCTCACATAGGTTTAGAGTTCAGTTTGACAAAAAGGTCAGATGATTTTTAGGTTTTCTGTAAGGAGAAGTGATTTGCTTGCCAAGTTTAATGTAATCTAACCCAGAAAAACAAAGTAAAAATTGTTTACTGTAATGAGATATAAATCCAAGTACTTCTAGTAGATCAGAAAAATTTGCAGGACTTGTGACTTTTATATATTTTCCATCGCTGCTCTTGCTTTGTGTTTCTGAACCTACCAGATATCAGTGTTTACTCCAGAGATTAGGAGAGCCCTACTAAGATCTGCCCACATTCAAACTAAAAACCACATCACACTGAATTTTCAAAGTTTTTAGTGTAAGCAACACAGAGTTATTATTGTAGATAACAAACTGAGAATGCTGCCATGTCCCAGACTTTTTTCTGTGAAATGGAAATCAGTGTGATTTATCCTGAGAGAAATCTGAACTGTGCTGGTGATTCCTCTGGTTGGGTGGATCCATTTTAGCATGCTCTGGCTGGGTTTTAGGTAACTGAAATTAGTTCTGGAAACTGGAATGGAAAAAATTAGTAATATAAATAAGTTAAAGCATCCATAATCATAGATACACAGTATCTGCTTAATAATAAAACCAAGGCAGGGACTTAACAGCCTTTCTAAAATTCAAAATATCCAAACAGAAGAATAACTGGAGAATTGACATAGTTGAGTTGAAAATCATGAGTGCTTTACTTATATTTCATTAGAAGAAGGTAATGGCTTAGTGATTAAATAATATTATGCCACATTGAAAAGCACAGTCTCCCACTCCCCCTTCATTTCCTGAAGTTTGAGCCCTGTTTAAATCACTGTAGAACTGCTTGGCACTTAGTCATATTCAGACATGCCAGTTCATGTGCTTCTGTGATCCAGCTCACTCTCACGTGGCTGCAACTGTCTCGCACCTTTCATGCTCTGGAAGACTTTTTTTTTTCCTTTCAGCACTGAGTTGTGTGGGAGCTACAAATGCAAGGCTTGGAGTTTGAGCAGCTGCATGAGTTCCCTTGTACAACACCCAATTCTTATGCCATACATGCTGCTGAATATTATATTCTACAGAATCCTGAAATTGGAAGTTAAAAAGTCTCTAGAAATCATTTGTCTGAAACGAAAGCTATTCTTCATAGAGGGATTTATCTCTATTCTACCCTGCAATGTTATCACAAGTTTAACACTGAAATTCTTGGTTGGTGGGAATCTGCAAACATTTTGATCTTTGTTTTTATATGTACTTACTTAAGATTTTATAACAAATATGAATAATGAATTTTTCCTCTCTTTTAGTTTATTTGTATTTCCATTGCTCTGTTGAGGATTATACAGCAGCATACAGCTTTAACCAGAACAGTTCACAAATGTATTTTTAAACTTAGTGTATGATAAGATACAATTTAAGGGAGTTCTTGCTTTCACAGTGCTTTTTATTCTTGTGACATAATCTTATTCTCAAAAGATAGAAATCCTTAATTTTTGGAATGGTATCTAAGTAGCAATGGCTGGGAGATTAAAACTGAGTCAATTTGCAGAGGTTTAAAGTGTTTTGTAAATGTGAATTTAATAGTGTATACAACTAAAGTATGTAATTGAGGATGGTTCTTCAGGGAACCTGTGAAGATTTACAGCATTGTAAGGGGAAACAGTACAGTATTTCCTGTCTCCGCTAGCTCTAGATAGAGTATTTGCTCGTGCATTTTTACTGGCACTTCTTTCAGTTTACTATAAAATCTTATCACAATGAATTTCACATTTTTCTAACAAAATGGAACAAGAAAAATTAGTATTTCAACAGATCCCAGGGCTAGAATGGCTCCAACACTTAATCTGATGATTATTTTAGAACTGTTTTAATGCTACATACTAAAGGATGTTCTACTTAACTTAAGTTTCATTAGTGTAATATAAGTGTGTTCTATTGTCTAGTTTCATTCTGTTATTCTTCCCTTTAATAGCTACCTAAAAGGAACAGCCATTGAATTGCTAAAAATGAGGATGAATGACACATTGTAAGGAAAGAGGCTCTATGCCAAATTCCACACATTTACACTGCCAACATTTATCCACAATGTTGGCAAAGTGGAGAAACACTTCTGAGCTGCTGTTATTTATGAGACAGATAATTTTTTTCCCTGGTAGGATGGCGCTGGATAATCTGATTTTTGTCACCATCACCTTAGCCATCAGTTTTTGGGGTGCCACTGGGCAGCACACTTTAACCCTTCTGTGTCTCTGATTTCTCTATCTGTAAAATATCTGATGTTACTCTGAGATTGAATTCAGTTAAGCTCCATAAGTATATTTTATTTTCATGTGACACGTTATTGCAAATTAAAAGAATCATTGATTAAATTGATTTAGTATTTATTTACTGGGGGTTTTGTGAATTTTTTCCATGAAAGCTGTACATGGTGAATTAACTTGTTTTACATTTATTATAAAGTGTTTAACAAAATCAGGTATGATTTTATGACCAATATGACCATACACACCTAAAGATATTCTCTCTCATTTGTTCTTTCTGAAATCCTTCAGATTTTCTGTCTGCAGAATATATGTGAAATACCATGGTTTTGTGTCTTGGTCCTTTCCCCTTCCCCCTGCCTCTGCATTGTTTTAACTAAACTGTGTTATTCAACGTGTTATTCTGTATTCTAATTCAGTGCATAGGGACAGTGTTAATGCAGTGATCTTCCTCCCTGGCCCCCACTCCACACTTCTTGTCCTGAAAAGACCTGCAGTGCAGTTTTTCCTGGTATTGTAAACTCCCAGCTCGGAGCACGGAGTTAGAAATGTGTGTTCATTCGGTGAGGACATTAGTTTGAACAATGTGTACTAAGGCTTTGTGAATTTGGAAGTTAATTACTGTGTAAGAGATTTCTTAGAGAAGTTCATTCTGAGCAGTTGCCTTAGGCAAAAAAGACAAATTCTTACTTTTTGAGATGTCTTCACAACAGTAGGCACTGAAAGCGTGCCCGAGGTCCCGCAAATAAATATTCACTGTAAACCTAACCTGGGCAGTTACACTGCTACACAGAAGCTGTTTTTTTATGCAAATTGAATGCTACACAGGAATAATGCAGTACTGGGAGGAGGCAGGAGAAATTAAGTAAAACAACAATTAGAATAGCAGTTCTTTGAAATCATAGTCCAGGTTTTCTTGGATAATATTTGTGTATTTGTGTAGGAATGGAGGTCTGTGAGACAACATAGCCTTTTCATCTTGATATTTGTAGGAAAAAGCACAAAGTTTTTTAAATTTCGTGAATAAATATACAAAAATGCTTTCCATTGACTTTTAGTATCTGCTACAGTTCTCTTCAAATATTTTCCTGGTGTAGTTTAAGCGTCATGTAAGCACAAAGAGAAGGGTTTATCCTGTTGCCTGTGGTCAGTGTTGTGAGACATACTAATTTCAGTTCATATCCAGTGCATTCCCTCTTCCCTAACAGACAGACCAGGTAAGGTTCAAGCCACTTATTTGTAATACTCTGATTGCATTACAAATGGGAGTAAACTTAATTTGGATTTTTTTGTTTTTTGTTTCAATAATCTAATTATTACTTTTGCTTTTGAGTTTGTGTGGAAGACAGAGCACAGCAAAGAAGAAACAATGCTCAATTTATTTTTTATTTCATCTTCCACATATGCTCTCTTTATATCTGTATAGTTCTATTTCTTGAATGAAAATTTTAACTTTAATTTCACATTCAGGATTTTTTTTCTAAAGTTTCAACGAAGTATTTTTTTTTGTTTGTTTTATTCCAATACAATGTTTTCTTATGTGCTTTGGTTAGGCTTATTAGGACATGTAAGAAAAACAAAATGTCACTTATTTTAAAGGTCATGTGCATTCTGCCAACTATGCACATTGCTGGTAAGCCAGGTATCTCCAGGAGAGGGCTTATGAAGGTGGCTTGAAAGTGTCTGGGATTTAAAAGCCACGCAGAGTAGAAACTCATAAAATATATTATTTATGCAGAGAGAGTTCTTTGAGTGTAGAAAAAACGTCTCTGGGGCTCACAAAGAAAGGTAGCAAACTATAAAAAATATTTTTAATTTGCTTAGGATGTAATTCTTCATGTAATATATGCAGTGCCTGCAAAGTGCAGCATCCAACTCTGTAATAGAAGTACCTCAAGCTTGAACTTGAACTTAATTTGGTCCAAAGTAATTTAGCCAAGTTGAACCATACATAAGTCACTCATACATTTTTTTTTAATTTACAGTGTAAAGTTTAAGAATATTTTGCTGTGATAGCAGAGTTGAATGTGTGCAGTAATAGAGGGACTTTTGTGCAAATTAACTTTATATTTATAGCTTACTGACCTTCAACTAACTTTTTTTTTTCCAATTTGCATTCTTAGATTGCTGCAACAGAAAATCACCTTTATAAACAGAAATAATATAATTAACACTTCTGATTAAAAGTTTGTGGAGTCCTAGTAGACACAATGCTGTCAGTTTAAAAGGTGAACAATTGTTAGTTTTCACATTATTTCCCTTGCCCTGAAGTAGTAGTAGTATGCATGTAGCTTTAGTATCACAGGAACTTCTAAAGAAATCTCTCTTGTCCTAGTGCTGGGCTGTTGGACCCTCATGTGACAATGGGACACAAGGCCTTGCTGGAAAACGAGTGTGCATGAGGAATGACTTGACCACATTATGAAGCCTGGGAGGTAAAGAAAGGGAATAAAAAAACCCAAGTGTGATCAAGACCAATAGAATTGCAATATTGAAGCTAATAGGCTTACTTCAGTTTGAGGTTCTTTCTCCTTAAATATACAAATAATAGATTTGTTAATATAAAGTAAAACTACAAATACCTTTCTTTTTAATTTTTTAAAAAATTAACCTTTAATTAGTTTCTTTAGTGTAGATCACATAAATGGGATCAGAACTTCTTCCAAGATGAGGAAACATGAAGATGCTACAAACTGTATTGTAGGAGTTTTCTTCTCTAAAGGAATAGCTACATCTTAGATGAGCATTACACTAAAAGTAATCAGACTAAACTTTAAACTGTGCTAGCATTGAGTTATTTGGATTTTATGAGTGATTGATTATATGCAACAGAGTTGGACTTTGTGATTGAGAGTTCACTACTCTTATATGACAAGTCCCATATGATGAAGGCATACATCAAAATGTGACTGTGGTTAAAACATCTGAGTGGTTTTAAATAGCAAGATTTCCCTTTGGTGGAAGATAGGCAGGAAAAGTGTATTTAAATCACCTATTTAAAATTATTTTGAAGTAGATAGCAAATTTTCCTTTACAGTTGGATGCATAGGAATTCAAGAAGTGTTTGGACAATCCTCGCAGGTACATGGTGGAATTGTTGGGGTATCCTGTACAGGGCCAGAACTTGGACTCAATGATCCTTGTGGGTCCCTTCCAACTCAGGATATTCTGTGATCCCATGAAAATACATAATAAGTGGGAATTAAGAAAATGCCATCTTTGTTTGCAGAAGAGCCAAGTGATATAACAAGCTGCTTTTTATTTGAGAATGACCCAATTAGGACATTAAGGCCAGGGTTTCCAAAGATTCATTGGCTTGACCTTCCTGAAAATTTTTGCTTCTTTCCTAAAAGCACACTGTAATTTCTTTGACCTCAGTTTAAAAATTCTGTAGTGCAGAATTCAAAGTCTTTCAGGACTTTGTATAGAATAAGTGTGTTATTAAATGCATTTTAATTAAAAGACAAATTTTATAAACAAGACACTCAAACCAAATGTATTCAGAGCTGAGAATATTACTTCTGTGCAAGCCTATGCAAACCAATACATGCTTGAAACGACTGAGTCAATAATTAGCAGTATTAATGAGATTTTGGTAACCAAATAAACTTCAGACAAGTTAGAGTTCAAGCCTTGTGCAAACAGGTGCAATTGAAGTGGCTTGAATGGATTTGATTATTGATGTTTCTTGGGAAGCTGAAAGAGACTGAGATAAAGCTTTTTGAAAGTCTGCACATAAGGGGCAGTTGCCAGTGTGCTTCCCCACAGAATTTTAAGATGTAAGTTTTACCTCCTGGGGAAAATTTCAATTTGAAATGTTATAAATTTGCCATTGTTGCACTTGCCAATGATGTCACATTTGCAGCATGAAATCTCATAATTTACTGTACATTAGCTAGAACTATTTTGCACATATACAATTAGAAATTATTGAATAAGGTTCAGTTAAACAATCTTCCCCTGAAAAGCTTAATTGGTATTTTATTTTGATAAACAAAACCATTAGGAAGCCATCTGTTTAAAAAAGATCTAGGACTTGGAATATAATATTTGTGTCTGCATTACCTGGTATGGCATTTTGACTGTTATATTTGTAATTATGTGAAACCCACACACAGGATATAAAAATACGGGTTTTTATATAGTAACTCCAATAAATATTTGCGATTATTTGTTTGCTGCTATAAATTGTCAGAACATTAATCAGTTGGTCTCCTAACTCACATTTCCCTAAAGAATTGTAATGTTCACAGTCTCCATCACTTTTATAATCCATAATTATTTTTCATAAGTGGAGAAATAATGTTATACACATGGAAAACTGTTAAAAACCTCTTGTTTTGTTACCTTTTACTTAGCAATTTCCCATTTGGTACTTTACTTTGGATGGTATATAAAGCCAATAAGCAGGTGGAAATTGGGTCATAGGAATTTTTCTGGTGCCAAAGACCAACTTAATGGAAATTTTTAAACATAGCTGTATTTCGCAAAGGAGCTTTACTGTTCTCATCTGAATTTGGCATAATGTTCTGTATTATGTATGTTTGAAACAATTGTAAATTAATGCTGAATCCAGTTGGCTCTCATCAGCCCCTGTCAACAGCAAACACATTTCGTACAGATATATGTTCACTGGAAATAGGAAGTCTTTTATTTGAAATGTTACAGCTTTACTTTTACATTTTTATGTTATTTAAATTTCAATATTTTTAATTTAGACAAGAGCTGAAGCTGTAAAATTTGTCTGCTGAAAGCTGTTTATTAGCTTAATGCTTACTTTAAAAAGTATTAAATAAAACCAGTTTTTTGAGTAGGACTGACAGATGAATGGGTGATATTTAATGCTGTACAGAAGTCTTAAATTTCCTGCTATTTTCATACCTGACTGATTGTCCTTAAAGACAGATTTTCTGAAAGTCAGTACATAGCAACTGCTGTTGTACTGTTGATGTGTGCTTTTGGTATACAAAAGTGGTAATTCAGTGAATGATCTTACGTTAACTTTGACATCCTAAAGTTAAGGGCTATTTTTGACATAAGTATGGAGTTTCAAAAGATATCTGAACTTCATATTTCACTCAGCTTTGCTTTTCCATGTTCTTCTCCCTTGAGATTCAAGCCTCCAATTCAAATGTTTTCTCTAGTAGATATTCATACAGGGAAAATAAATTAGAATGCATTCTGTACTATTAAGAGTACTAGTTACAGGTCCTAGCTATTTGAATTATAGAATTATTTATTTTTAATGAAAATGATAGGTGCTTTACATAATCCTTTTTTCTTCAAAAAATATTTCTTTCATATAAAGATTTTATAGAGCATATCCTACACTGAAGTGTGTTCCTTTATATAGCTGAAATATTAAATCAGGTTTATATCTTCTAGAAAAAAAAATTGAAATGCCATAGAGGAAATGTTTCTGGAGAAGTATTTTACTAAGCAACATTTTGCAAGATTTGCCATATAGTTGAAAGATTGGTTTGCTTTTGAAAGTTTGAACAGATGAGCAATTTTTTTAAGGGCATGCAGATCTTTTATTAAACTTGAAATGCCTTTCAAAAGAAAAGACAAACATTTCATAATCTCTGTATCAGAACTTGGTAATGCAAATTCATAATATATGTTAATGATTCCTGCATTAACTTTGATGTCTAATTTTGCATTAAATTTTCTATGAGCTAAGTGACATAATTTTTGCCATACTTTAATTTTTTTTGTGAGTCATAAACCCAAAACAAGCTAGAATGGTTTGGAGTTACTTACAGCAAACTCTGTCAGATTTATTGATATAAAATGTTTCAGGGTTTGTTTGTCATAGCTGTCAGAGTTAGGAGTGAGTTAAATCTGTATCTGGAATTTTAACATGTGAGTCACAGTGAGGTCTTCAATAACAAATGTTTTGACTGGGTGTCCCAGGTGGAAAACAAAATGGCCACTTAGATCTCACTGAAGAACAGTTCTATAGTTCTCTCTTGACCTCACTTTTTTATTAATGTTTTATTGTTTCCTGTATGGAGAGAAAAAACCCAACCAACATTCACACAGCTTCTTTTATGGTCATGATTCACCACTATGGCAATCGCGCAAACCTTGGAAGAACACTGTGTGGGGCTTTGCCAGTGCTTTGAAGTGCAGGCAGCCAGAGCTGTTTGAACATGGTTTGACTTGAATGTTGTGCTAATGTGTAATTTCCAAAGTTCTTGCTTGTGGTTCTCCACCCAGAAAAAAAGAAGACAATCACAATGCACCCTCATACTTTTTTCTATGAACAAATAAGAAATACATAATAATGAAGAGACATTGAAAACTAATTGAAAACTAATAATGCAAATTGCTATCTTACAAATAAATTATTCTTATGAGTAAAGAAGCCAAGAACAGAATTAGTTACCTACAATGTCAAGAAAACAACTCTGAATATTGTCCTGATCCTATTTTTGGTATATCCACAAATGTTTTGAAATTCCAGTTTAGAAGCTTGGGTGTAATTTTACAATATAGGGAAGAATATAGAATTCAATGAGAACAAGTACTTGTCTCAGTTAGGAAACCTTCCTCTGGCATTTGGCTAAAACCATAGGAAGAATAGACAAGTAACAGCTCAAATTTTATAAAAGTTTTTTAATGAAGAGCATCTCTGTAGTGAAGGGCCATTTGTAGGTATGATTGCATGAAAGGTTTCCTAAAATAATCATAATTGTTAACTTTTATTGAAAGTGAAAATTTGACAACTGACCTTCAAATTTCAACTGATGCATATTGAACTGATTCAACTTCTTAGTGAGAAGAAACAGGCTTGTCACAGGCTTCATAATGTCCATCAGCTGGAAATGCATAGGGATTACTTCTTTTCCATTCTTTCTCTTGAAGCCCATACACCTTTAAGCTTTGCTTGATCTAAGTGGAAGGCAGATTTCTCTCTGTTTCAGTATTCAGTCAGATTGTCTTCTATTCCTTGGTAAATGTGAGATTTTGCTGGCTGCTTGCATGTGTGCCCCCTGCCCAAGGATGAGCACTGACAGCTGTGTTGCTACATTCTCTGAAAGGTTAAGCACAGCTTTTCCTTTTGCCCCCCTTTTATGCACTCAGGGTTTGTAGTTCACCTTTTAGAAAGATGTGATGGTTGAAGGAGACAAGCACAGGTGTAAAAATTTCATAAAGTCAATGATTCTTTGTATTAGCTGGCATCTACCATACAGCTGAAAAAACACTGGATATACTGTGTGTACTTCCCTTCCTCAGTTCTAATGTTGTTTTGGGCATATTCTGTGCACTCTGTGCCATCCACTTCTGTGCATAACTTTGCTAAATTATGTTGCATACATGTCTGTGTCACAGTTCTGAAGCCAATTTCCTTCTCATTTGGCTGGCCCTCAGTTAGCAAAGCACACCTCGCTGTTCCTTCTCCATGCACAAGTTTTCTTTCTTTCTATGATTCACAGCATTTCTCAAATGCTTTCGTTTTTAAGGTCTGGTTGTAGCTGTTGATCTTCCTTTCAGTTTTGGGGAAAATCTATAGCTTAAGACCCTGGCATGCAGGAAGAGTTTGGGTGAATTTATTGCCATCTGGCTCAGATACCCCATTGTCCTTTTTTGTTTCCTCTTAACTGGGAGCTGCTAGGGTGGGACACTTTCCACAGCCCCATGTCTGAGACATGGATGACTCAGCCCTGACAGCATATGGCTGATTTCACATCCTCTGAGGTATTTAATGATACAGCAGTTTCATAACCACAACCACAATTCCGACTTTGCACACGGATAGATTTCCCATGTCGGCACAGATGCTTTTTCAAAGGTAGTTTCTTAACAGTTCTGAGTATTTTACCTACAAGCTGTACTGGTGGCATTCTCTATTTCATGCAATACTTACCTCACTGCTTCTTATGAGCAGAGTATGTAAGAGGTGTTAGAGTGGAATAATATATGAAAAGTGAGAATTATCACACCACATAACTTCTAAGTAGAAAGGTGATTTACAAAGCCTGCAGCTGCTTTATATAAATCTTAAGATATAACTAGTAATTCTCTGAAAAAAAGAATCTCAGACTGATTATGAATCAGAAACATGAGAAAACCTAATAGACACATAGAAGGCTAGAAGCTTGGAAGCTTCTAGCTATAATTTTGGCCTCAGAAGCTGTGGCTTCAAAAGCCACATTTTTTTTCCTGCTGTTGTTTTAAATAGCATTATCTGTTATTTTTGACTTGCACACAGTAAACGTCCAGGCAGGAACGTTTATATATTCATCATCTTGATCCTGGCTTCATAGTCCTACCTCACTGTTGTACCAGTTCAGGGAAATGAACTGGCAGAAAATAATTCACTTTTTTGTGAGGGTAACATTTTGCTTGCTTCTCTTCTTGAGCTTACTTGGAAAGATGAGCAGGTCCTTCTGACCAGCATCATGTCAGGAGATGCTGGTTTGGGAGGAGGGAATAAGAATGTGTGACCAGAGACAAGGGAAGCCCCTGATGTTAATGCTTAAGGAATTGCATTACATTTACTCCATCATCCCTACTTTCTCTGTCATGTTTAACATTTTCAAATTAAACTGCTTTACTTAGATTTTCCCAGACTATTGGACATATGAACCTATTAGCTAAAACTTATTGTGTTAAAAACTCTAGAAATTGAAAGAGCACTTGAAAGAAAGAAAAAGAAGAAAAATTGAAAGAAAAGGAAGAGTTATTAAGAAGCAATTTTAAGTGTTCTAATTTTATATCAGTGTACATTATATCTTGTGTCTTGTAATGTTAAATATATTTCTTGCTTGTGAAGAATATAACTGAAAGAAATTTTAAGCTTCAGATTCTGCAGAATTTATGTTTTGGCAATCAGTCCAAATGTCTACAAATTCTAAATGAGTACTCCTAGAAGTTATGCTGCTGTAGCCAGTATCCGCATGTGATAGTCTGGGATGTAGTTTGGGTAACTATGAATACCATAGCAATCCTTAAAACAAACAAACAAACACAAAATCCAAAGAAACAACTTTAAAAATCAACATGGTAAATGTCTTCAAAATTTTTTTTAAAGGAAGCTAGGGATGTGTGTTCTATACTGTCCTTATTGAAAAACAAAGATCTGGAAACTTTATTCTTGGAAATTCTGGAATGACCCAAAAGCTTGGAAGTGAGATTTGATGTTGGCAGGAAAGTGATCTGCCTGTTGAGCATGTGCTTTTTGTTATTTCTGTGAAAAATCTACATATTTAACCAAGCTTTAACCCTTTAGGGCAAAACTACTAGTATGATCTCTGCTTGCTAGATTTGAACAGCAAAATCTTTGATAATTTTATTTCAGATTATTTCCATAACCTCTCTCCACACGAAGCATGTGCATACAAGCTCCATTGAGCTGTTGGATATGCTCTGGCCCTTCACAGGTCTCGGTGTGACTGGGCTGCAGATATTCTGGCATAATGAATTGAGAAAGCTTTTAACTGCTGTAGAAGGTAATTCAGCTGAACTCAACTGGCTCAGAAAGGCAGTTACATTTACTGGGGCTTGAGGATAATAAAAAGTTTAAAAGGGGTGACATTTTAAGGCTTATCACAACTTCTCTGAAGTGTTTCACCATGGCTGGAGACCCCAAGTAGGTGAATTGCTTGGTTCCAGAGTTCAACTCATCTGTCAGCTCTGCAGCTCAGCTGTCCCATTCCAGGGCTGCAGAACAAAAGGAATGTTGGCTTTATGGTCATTGCAGGTCATGGGTCTCTGTGTTAAAATTTAACAAATAGCAGCTTCATTTCACTTGCTCAGCACTGAGCTGTAGATTTCCCTTCCCCCCATTTTTTACCCTGAGGAATTAGCATAAAAGGTTACAAACCTAAATTTTGGATGTGTCTGCATGAAAAAAGTAGTGAGTGAAAGGTTGGCCTTATTTAATATTACCAGCAGTTAATGGTTACAATGTGTTTGCAGTTACTCAACCTTTTCACCTGCAGCTAAGAGAGTAAAGAGACATGACAGTTAAAGCTGATGATAAAGGTTTAAAGGATGTGTTCTGTCCAAAGAATTCTGCAGAACTACTGAATTGCAAAAGTTCTGAACTCACATTGTCTTTGTGAGTTAGAGATTTTTCTTTACAGAATCAACTTTCTGTGTTAACCACCTTATATAAGTTACTGGTAGCTGTATAAATGAATTATTTTCAAGGATTTAGCATTAATTCTGCTCTCTGTAATTCCTGTCACTCCTTGTAGTAATTATTAAAAAAGTATGAAGAGTAATAATTTTAATTTTGAAGAAATTGTAAGTGATTTAGGATTTCTCTAAGAATCCTGATGTTTGGAAATAAAAATTAAAATAAATAATTCACTGGGAACATCAATTCAATGTTGACCTTTCTCAAGCCTTTGTCATCCTTAATTAAGATTTTTGGTGACTAATTTTTTATGATTAGTCTGTTTAAATATTGGGCTCCTGACTGCACTATGACTAAGCAGTCTAGATGCTTACATCTAGAGCAGAATAACTGAGAGCAGAAAGAATTCATCATTCATACAAAACCATGCAGTGATAAAAATCTTGAGCAACAATATTCCAATCATTTCATAAGCACACATAAGTGCACATATAAAGCTACATGTGGAGCTTGCAAAGGGGAATCAAGAAGTCACCTCTCACTTTGTGCTGTCGCCAGTGTCTGTCAAAAATTAATGCAAATGATTGTTAGAAATACTGAGTACAAAATCTTTGTTTAACTTGCAGATTACACACAAACGAATATATATGTCAAGTGCACAGAGGAGAGAATAAGGCCCTAAAAATCACTTCCTTTTAACTCCAGGTACTTGTTACTTTATGCTTTCATTTTTATTGACATCAACATAATATTTAAAATTAAATAATCTACATGTAAGCAATTCTTTTATCTTGATTATCTTTTTCTCCTGAGCCAATTGAATCTTTGCAAAACTTGCACAGGGATTCTAGAATTCTCCTTAATATTAGGCTTGTCTGCCAGGAACACTTTCCATTTGTGCTGAAGAGCTTCTCAGTTCCTGTCAGTCTTGGAAAAATCCTATTTTTCTAGTAACTCAAAATATTTTGGATAACTGACTTTCTGATAAGTCAGTTCCATAATTAAACTCCAATGAGTTTGCTGCATTCTTTGCATCTTGTCTAATAGATCCACCCTTTTTTTAAAGCATCTTTTCAGTAACAGTGCATTTCCTGAAAACAGCATGATGATTTATAATTTAAAAATATGAAATTACTATTACATAATGTTACTTTAAAAGAAGTTAATCATTTGTCCTTTATATCAGTTGATCTGTATGGGCTGTCTATTAGAAAATTATAACCAAAGAGACAGAAAATGAAAGGTTTTTTTTCTTTTCTTTTAAAACATTCTAGTTAGTGAGTAATTATTCCATGGTCCTCTTACTCCACAATATAAGTATTCAAACAGCTTGATATATATTCCAATTGGAAACTGAGCAGGTTTTTTGTATGGTAACGGTAGTTTATGGTAGTGAGGAGGACAGTTATATTTTAAATATGCAGAAAATATAAAGCAGAATGTCCCAGTTTAGTGAAAAAAGAAGTACATGGACAATCACATGCATTGCTGCCAAAAGCATGACTTACAAATGAATAAAAATAGTGTAAGTGTTGAATTCCTTTCCTTATGTTTTCCCTTGGAGAATGGGATGTTTTCTTTTTTGCATGAGTGGCAATGCAAGTACGTGAATTAAAAAACCAGAAAACAAACAAACAAAACCAAACCAAAACCAAAAATAACCCCCCCAAAACAACTGCAGTTACTTCATAGAGCAACTTCTGACTCATGGAGACCACAGTCTGAGCTTTGATTGGAAACGTTAGATTTTAACCAGCTGAATTTCATTGAAAACTTGGAGAATGAGAGAAATGTCAGTTACAACATAATTTATCTTGATAACCAGAGAGAGACACTCATCACATTCCCATTGTGCAAATATTTGTGTGACTAGGTTTTCTGGTTCTTTTTTTTGCCTACTCTAAGTTCTTGACAGCTTTGCTGTGTGGCTTTCTAATGTGGATTTCTTCTGGGCTTTTCCTAGAAAGGAATTGAAGAATATGAGAGAAGCACAAAGATATTATTTCTCATCTTTTATTAACAGCTCATTACCTTTACCTGCTGTATTATAAATGCACACTCTGTGAGATAATACAAATAAAGGCACAGCACATACCAGAGGTGTATAAAGAGTTTCAGAAAGCAGAGGTTCTAACCTAGGGGCATTATTTTGTATTTGTGATTTGGGACTATGGAAAAAGAGTTCAAAGTCTTGTTTAAAACTTCTGAAATTATGCAGGATTTTGTGGAGTGTTTAATTGAGATGTTTTTATTTCAAGTTGTTCAAATCTAAAAGCTAGTTAACAGACTTCACAAAGATATGTAATTTTGTCAGTGATCAATTGTATAGAAGAATATATCTTCAATGTCAAAATAAACTAAAAATCATAATGGTTATATTTTAGTTTCGTAAGCCTTTCAGAAAGTGAAAAACAACAAAAAGTGGGTGAATATATATGGTTTTGAATTTATTTTTAAGATATGAAATGAATCTTTGGACAGCTGTGGTATGTCAGGGACTTGAGTGGATAAAGGGGAAATAAGCCAACAGTAACTGAATATTTGTGGGGATTTTAAATATATAAATAACATGTGCCATCTTTGAAGCAATGTTACAGGGTTCATCAGAGATAATCAGGATAGACTGGTGCAGTCATTGGTGTTCTTCCCAGGGGAGTTCATTTCCACACTGCTGTAGTCCATGGCCATGTAAGTGTCCGAGTCCCCTCTGTGAGTGTCAGCTCCTCTTGAGGAACAGCCATCCCAGGAAAGTGCAGTGGGAAGTACACCTCTGTCCCCTAGGTCAGAACTGCTGCTGACACATTCTGGGGCACCTGGCTGGGTTTTTTCTGACTGTATCCAGCTAATGTACCAGAATGTGTACACAGTAGCCTCTTAAATCTAGTGTACTCTCAAGAGACAAGATCCTGTTATAAATTCTCACTAGTAGAGAAAAAATGCGGTGCTAGGAGCACAGTGCTTTTCCTCAAGCTTCTCAGAAAACATTTTGTAATTAATTTTAGCACTGACAGACCAACAAACAGATTATTCAAATTTGTTTTACCAAGAAGCTAGGCAGGAAAGGCAGTCAGTGCCACAAATTACCTTCTTATCAGATTCAGGTTTGCTATCCCACTTAGCTGTTCCAAATTCTACATTGACAAATTCCATTTTAGCAACCTGGAATTTGTCTCCCTTACTTCTGAAGCCAGATGAGTGGGACATATCTGTATATTTTTAGTTACCACAGAAATCTTTTACAGAAATCTTTATAATTGTTTTATAATTTCCTTTCTATTGAATCCCTTCTTTTAGGAAATTTTATTAATTTTTTTGAGGGAGTGGGAGGGAATATTTTTTAAATTCCTACTAATATAATTGTATCAAATGTAATATACTTTCATCATCATCACCGTCATCATCATAATTAAGTATTAGAGAGTATAGAGAGGCATTGGCAAAAACAGATTGAAAAACTGGAAGATTAAAATTACATGAGTCCTACTTATTATTTACAGTCACCTTGATGTTATCAGAGATTCTCAATACAGAAATTGTAGCAGGAGTTGATGTTTGCAGGACATGTAGTACCTTCCATCGTATATATTCCTTACAATAAAATTCCAGGATATTATGATGAACCAAAAGGGGAAAAGAAGAAAAGAAAAATGTGCTCTTGTCTGGATTTTTTTTGTTGTAGGTTTTGAAGGTTTTTTAATGAAAAGGTGGAATTTTCCTTTTAAAAAGTACAATAATAATTATAAAATAGCAGACTTGTTGGGGCGAACACATTGAAGTCATTCAGAAAAATAACTGCATGACATCATGGGAGAAAGATAGAACCAAAAAAGGATAAGTGTTGCAGGCCAAATAGCTTCTATTCATTCCCAAAGAATTTGTCCTACTCGCACAAGAATTGGGAGAAGAAAGAAATAAAATCTTCATCCTTGGAAGCTCAAAAAACACAAATATGTTGTCCCAGATAGAAAATGTAAAAAGAGTTTTAAAAAATAAAGCTGTGACTCTAATCAGGAATGCTTACTGAGAAATACTGACTTGCTGCTTAAAAAAACAGTTCAAGTTACTCCCAGTAATCCAAAGAACTCCTGGAGCAGTTGTGAATCACTACATGCTTTTATTATCTTGCATTTCCAGCAAACTCGTATTTGCATATTAAAGGATGATTTTTGACACATTTTTCTATCTTGATCGCTCAAAGCAGCAGGGAGTTTTACACCTTTATGAATTTAGCAAGGTGATTCCCAGACACTTGCTTGGCACTAGGAAATGTCAGAAACATGAGCTGCTCCACAAGCTGATCTGTGCCCTGTAGCTTATCCTGTTCTTAGGCAAATAATTGTGTTGTCTAAATCAACCCACAAGGTTCAGGAGGAAATGAAATATTTGTGTTCAGAAGACGTCCAGGACTGAAGTACTACATAATCTCATAATTATGCCCCTTGACATATCCAGGCTGCTTTGAAATAAATGCTGTGCTAAATACCATAAAGTAACTCTTGCTCTTCTGCCACAAGCCTGTTTATCTTCCCTGTTTACCTGTCCTTTTTGTGGCTTCCTGCACTTCAAGGGCATCTGTCTCTGAACAGGTAGACCTGCTCCCTGCCTCTTTATTGCCTCTACATTGTCTAATGGTGGTCAGTTGCCATTACTGTTCCTTCCCTCCTGTTTGCAATTTTCACATCATGTAGTTCAATCCATTATCTTAATAGAAATCTTATTTGTCCTTGAATGTGTGCAATATGCTTAAAAATGAGTATATTATCAAATTAACATATAAAAGTCCTTGAAATTGATGTTGTTAAGCTCATGCACTGTGTTAGTCACAGCTTTCTCCTTTTATTAAACAGTGAAGGAACTGCACTTGTTGAGAGGAAAATAGAACAGCAAAAAAAGTGTCAGAAGTTTACAAAAGCAGGAAGGTAATATCAAGAGGGAAGTGGCTGTGTTGTCTGAAAGCTGAAAAGGAACTTGTTTAATTAGATACAGCTGGATAAGGTTAGCATAGTTTGGTACCTTTTAGTGTGCATATATAAGTAATCACAATTGTTTTCTTGAATTGTACTGGAGCCACCTTCAGAAGGTGGTGCATCTTAAAATAGCATTATTATCATGCAGGTGTGTCATTTCCAGAAATAACACCTAAGGCTTCAGAGATATATTGGTACTTAAAAGCAGATTTGCTGGCTTCCTGGCATATAGTTTTTGATAAAATTTATTGATAAAATAATGACATAGAGTATTTGAGACACTCTTAGCTTTGTGATTTAAAGTCAAACAACAGTAGCCCTGAAGTGCCAAAGCACTAGAAAGAAAGTGCTATTCTTAGAGGAATTTAGATCAGAAAATTGCTCTTTAAGACCATGCAGAGTTTGAAGGCAGCAGACCAGACTAAGAACGTGGCTGTAATGATGAACAGTGCCATTTGAATGTTTCTAAACTTATGGGCACAAGCTTTACACTGTGAAAACATGGTATTACTGTTACCAATAATTTTGGTTGCATTTATTTATATGTATGTGTGGATTTAAAACCACAGTTGTACTGTGGCATGTGAGTATATTAGCTACTTCATATGTATCTTCCTAATGAAAAAGTTTTCATGTTAAGGTTAAGGAACATTTCTCACTTGTGATGAACGTAAGTCTAAACTTCTCAGCAATTTTTTTGATAAATCAAGATACATCTTTTATGTGACTTGTGGAGGGAGGTGAAACAACATTAACTTATATACATTCAAGATGAAAGCTGCATTTAGCTACAAATTTAGAGAGCAAGCGTTAGTTTAAAAAAATTTTTTTTTGCTGTTATGCTTACAAAAAAATTCCATAGTAGCAATGTTGTTGCTGTGATAGTCTTCAGTGCTGCATGATTTGCTACACCATACAAATTGGCCTCCTGCCTGTAGGCTTACATTTGGTTTGCAGCTGTCTGTAGTTCTGCAGGATTGGTTCTAGGGAATCGCCAATTAAAAAACACCAAAAGCCAGCATTCATTTCAGAGCTGTGAGTTGTGCGTATTCAAACATCCATTTCTGATGGACCAGTTCCCGGTAATTTCTGTGAGCTGATTGTTCTCATTCTTGCTCAATTTAGAGATTAAGTTTGTATCTCTTTTGTAACAATGTTCTCACTCCACCTTTTTACATATTGGCTTTTTAGTCTCAGTTACTCTAGAATTCCTGAAGAGTCACTTCCCAGGGAATGGCAACTGGTTTTTTCCTGTAAATAAGCAGTCACTTCTGGAGGGCTGCTTTTCTGTTTTCCATATTTCACCAGACTGTACAGACAGTGCAGATTTAAATGAACAATTTTATTGGCATATCAACTAAAAAATCAGTTCCCCGGAACCATGATTGTAATAGTCCTGCTACTTCTGCCTTGTTTTCTTACAATGATAGAAATCACTGAGAAAGTCTTCCAGTTAGTACTTTATGCTGGCAGAGTCCTCTTTAGAAGGCCTGTGTGAAATATACATATGTGATAGGAACTAAAAAAGGAAAGACCTTTTATTTTGCACTGTCCAGAAAGAATTCCACATCCTTGTTTCACTCTAAATTCACTCTAAAATGTAATTGAACAAGCCTGCAGATTTACTTAGTAAATTGTCATCTAAATCCATTGAACAAAAAAGTGTTTACTGTAATAGTCCAGAAATCTTTATAAATGTAATAGTTAATCTCTTACAATTCAGGCCCAACAAAAATGTGTGCCACTATTATTTTCTCATAATTGAAGTCTATTCATCTTTCTAAATAGATGAAATTAATTTGTCATATTTATCAGGAAATCTAGGGAGAAAAACACAGCTTTCTCTCTGAATCTTTAGTAAGAATAAGAGAGTGTAGGTGGAGCATAAAAAAAGGTTTTTATTTCACATAGGTACAAAGAAACACCACCCACAAAGGTAATCAAGGTCTATATTAAGGAATAGCTTTCAAAAACTTATGGTTCAGATTATTTCATTTGCCAGCACTTCAGAACCTGATTCCCAAAATGAGAAAATGATACATGGAGAATAAATAGAACATTCGGTGTTTCAGTTTTTGGCATTATCAGTACATTTTAGATGGCATGTACTGGGAAAACTCAGAGCACAGCATTGGAATTTGGATTAAATTATGTGTTTTATTTCTTCCAACAGAGATAAATTAAAACAAATCCTGTGTGAGCTGGTTTGAGTTCAGCATTTTGCAATCAGTACAGTTAAGTAAGCAACTGAACTAACCTATACAGTATGTGTCAAATCTTTTCTTAGAAACTAATGCTTTTGAGTACATAAAAAGCAGTTCTTACTGTTATATTCCAAATGGTGCAAGTGGTGATATATAAAATAAACATCCACAGAGAAAAAACACTTCTAGTTTTTATAGTTTGTAGATTGATGTTAAAAAGAAATCCAAAACTCCCTGCAAATTAATTTTATCCCATAAGACCAGTAAAACAATAGCAAGTATACAATCTGCCTCACAAAAAGATGATTTAATGTATTTGTGTCTCTAAAAGAGCTTGGTGTGGCCTTCAATCTCAAAGACAATTTCATCTGCTGCAAAGGTTGACTGAATTATCAAAACATGTCATAAATAAAAAGTTCAAGGTGTTATTTCTTTTATTTCTTAAAGCTATGTGCAACTGTAAAGGTTTTGCTTATATACATTGGAATAGAAAGAAGAGCTTTCACGTGACAAGTATAAAAATAAAAAATTGTAGAATAAACTAGGAAAAATAATTTGCTGTCATCCAGAAGATAAGCAGAAAGTAACAGGATGGATTTGTGAACAACAAACCAAGTTAATCAAGTTTGATTTCCCTCTACGACAGGGTAGCAGCTCTTGTGAACGAGGGATAGGCTGTTGTACATTTTAATTTTAATAACCCTTTTGAAAAATGTCTCAAATAACATTCTAATAAACCATCTAGGGAAATGCAATCTAGGTCATACATTGGCAACATTAAAGGCTGTATGCCAGATTGAATTTCCCTTTCCAAATGCTGTGATTAAGAACCTTGTGCAAGTTGTGAGATGTCACATCTCACACATGATGCTTTGTGTGGGTAATGTTGTCTCTGTAAAGACGGTGGCTTCTCACATGTATCCCTGTGAGTGTGTAGGGAGCCCTGCTGCTAGGGCAGGCTCCAGGACAGAGACACAACTGGGTCTCTGTGAGGGTGAGAGCACTGTAACAAGCATAGACTCCCAGAAGCTGAACTTTGTCTGCTAGACAGCTTTGTTAGCTCTCCTGATGGCAACTGGAAAGGCTGCTGAAAACCCAATATTTACAGAATGTTGTTTCCTTTGAACAGGTGCAATATAACTGTGCATCCATCTTCTGGTCTTTCTTGCAGCAAGTCAAATTAGATGGATACATTTCTGTGTTACTTCTGCTGTGCATTTAGTAGTGGTTGAAAAGTACTCATATTATCAACTGTTAAAATTTCTTGTTTCTTGATCTGTAGCAAGTGAAGTTGCTCAGCAGTGAAAATGTGAAGAGACGTATTTGGAATCAATGCTGACAGCTTGAGAAGTAACAGGTGATAATGAGTCAGCACCAACAGCTAGCTGTTCATTCTCCTCTAAACTGTCCAAGCTTGGCTTAGAGGTACAAGAATTAATTAGCTGATGTCAGGATTAGAAGCAATGATCAGTAATGGACCACCTGGGCCTATTCATGTCCACTGAAGTCAGTGCATAGTGCTGATATCAGCAAGAGAGCAGGACTGATGCAAGCCAGGAAACTGAGTGACCTGGCTCTGCTTCTGAATTTTGTTTTGGAGGTAGATTAGTAGCAGAGTTTTTTGTCTGGTGAATGACTCTGATCTGTTCCTCATCAACTAAACAAACCAAGTCAGAATGAAAACAAAGCAACTCTCCTGCAAATGAAGCAGAATGTGGGTGCCAGCTATGCCCAGCTCTTGCTTCAGAGTGAACCTGTCAGCCTGCATGTTCAGACAGTTTGCTATTGGTGTATGTGGGGAAGAGGACTGGGAACTGTTTCAAAAGCAAGGGATTTCCAACACTTTTATTTGGTGATCCAGACATTTCTTGATCCAATAAAGATGTGATCCTGTGCAATCTGCTCTAGGTGGATCTGCTTCAGCAGGGGTATTGGACTGCACGATGTCCAGAGGTCCCATTCCAATCCCAGGTGTTTGGTGCTTCTGTGTGACAAATGTCTGAGAGGGCCACTGTCCTGCCTAGCATAGCTAGCACAGAGCAAAGAATGACTCAGCTAGGAAAAGCCAACATTTATTTCATTATCTCATCAGGTATAAAAGCATGAGGAATGCAGAAAAGCCATGCAAAGTACAATAAAGCTTTACCAGAAGATCCCAGAGGACCATAGTAGAGGTGAAGAGAATACAATCAGCCTTTATGAAATCTTGGTTAACCAACTGAACAAGATAAAATGTGTCAACAAGTATACTGGTATGATCTGGTTTATTGACATACTTGTATACAAATATCTTGAATAGCATGGGTAATTTCAATAACTTAAATATTAAAAATCCTAGCAAGAAACTGCTACAAGACACTACAATTAATAAATCACATTTTAAAATATAGATAAAACAGCAGAAGTCAGCAAGACTGCTGTTTTAACAGGACATTAAAGGATAACTAATAAAAGTTTTGCCCTGCATGTGAGTATTTTGAATGATGCAAATTACAGTTCTATGCTTCCCTCCAAAGGTCTGTACACAGTATGATTTCTCTTTCCAAATGTTATTTATTTTCTTCAAAGAATGTGTGTACAAGTTTAAACCAAGCTTGCTCTTCTACCTAATTTTTAGAGAAGAACCACCTTTCTATTGGTGTATCATAAGAATGAAGCTCCCTCCCCCTTCACAGAAGATGGCACAATTCAGAAGAAGTTGTTTCAGAACATACTCAGTTTAATTACAGGATCAGTGAACACAGCAACATTTTCTTGGCAACAGGTAGAAAAGCTGGCAGTTACTCATTTTCTCTGGAGCAGTTTCTTGGCATTACATTGCTGCATTAGAAACTTGGATTTAATTTCTCACTTTGTTTTTCTGTTCCTTGCTTCATTTCTTCTTTATCAGTTTTCTTCTAGTGGTACATAAAAATAACATGCTGCATTCTTTGTTATGAAGAAAAAATTAACTCATTTGCTTTTAAATCATAAGCAGTAAGGTAATGTGGTAAGAATCCTATGCATATACATATGCATTATCTGATAAAAAATAAGGTAGATAAATGAAGATCATGAAGAAGAGATAAGTGTTGAATGTTAAATTGATGCAGTTGCCATTGCTGAACTTATATATTAAAATATATTACATGCATGAGAAAAAAATCAAGTTTATAATGTAAATCTACTGGTAAATCAAGCAAGAGAAAACCTATAGGGCAGAAAGAACAGCCACCAGGAGTCCTTGTGACTTATTGTTGAGTTTAATTGATGTAGCCTTACTACCCTACTGCCCCATGAAGTTCATATCTATTGATCACTGCATATATGAAGTTGAATTTAATACTTGGAAATAGATATTGTATCTTATGAGCAGTACTTTTTTAGAGAAAGTCTATTCTTCTCCCTCCCTTGTCCTTTTGAGAGATTAAACAAAACAAATAAGAGAAGCAACTATTGACTGAAAAGAAAGATGGTGTAAGCCCTGAATAGCTTTACTTTTCAATACTTTAATATAGGCATACACAGAATGTGAAGAATTAATCAACAATCTGCACTGGATCAATGATGGAGCTCTCTGGGCAAAGATGAGCCACAAAGAATGACACAATTATTAGTAATTGATAGAAGTTTTAGGAAATCATTTATATACCTGTCTAGCATTCAAAACCATCTCACATTTTCCTGTATGCTTACCTTTATTTTTTTCATTGTTGCTTTTAAAGCTATCTCAAAATAGTTTTATTAATAATTTGCTCTTTATATATAAAAAGTATCTTTGCTTAGATACATCATTATTTTTCTATTTGTACAGCATATGGAAGATAGAAACAGATTCTTCTTAGGATGCCTGTACTCTGGCCTTATAATTTTATTTCATTTTTGTAACTCTAGACAAGCTCATTTCATTCAAAGGAAAAAACCAGCATTGGTAAGGTTTCTTTTCTGTTGTCCTTTACGATTACTTAATGCCATTGTAGAACAGTAATTGAATGTGGCTCCTGTTACTGATCTGCATCATGTACATTGTCACATCTCCAAGCAGTTTCTGGTTCTGCAGTTTCTAGGACTGGAAGGAGTACCAAGAAAGGTAATTTTTTCAATTTTTTTTTTTTTTTTTTTTTTTTTAATCTTAGGAAGTAATTTTGCCCTAGTGCCAAAGTAAAATATTTAAATTCCTATTTTGAGGTCTGAAAATCAGAAAGTAGGGCAGTACTTTATTAGATTAAGATGTTATGCTGTGTTTTGTTGAAAGCATGGCTTTAGAGTTGGTTTTTATTTTTTTAATATGAATTGAGAAACAGTTTCTGCACATTTTTTACCCTTCCATAAAAGAAAACCCAAAATATTTTCAGAGGTAGTGAGAAACAGGACAAAAAGAGTTAACAATGAAATAGTACATCTTCTGGAGAACTTTAAACTTCTCCTCTAAACACTCAGCAAAACGGAAGTGTAAAATTTTAATTTAAATTTTTGCATGATGCTATGAAGTGTTTATAAAACTTTGCAGTGTTTTTCACGAAGTCTGGAAAAAATACAGTAACATTTTTTACCAGAAGTGTTGATTATCTGTGTAGCTCTTGCTTAAGTGGCTTGAGCTTATCTGTAACAAATACTGTTTTTTTAAGACAGGGATAGCATAGATCTCTACCCACAGATGCTGGATTTTCTGCCTGTTTTCTGTATACTGTATTCTGTCAGGAAAACAGTTACTAGAACAAGAGAATGTTTCTTTTTCTGCAGAGACACCTTCATTCTGGAGTAAGACTCTGTTTATTCTATTATAGACATAGCAAACGTTAAATTCAATGCTCAGTACCCTGTGTCTTCAAATAGTTTATTGAATCAGGCTGGTATTACTTAGAGTCATTTCCTGAACCTGGGTGCTAAATTATGCAAGTCCTTGGAAGCAAGACTCATGTTTAGCTAGTCACTTGGTCAAGTATATCACTGAATTATGCCTCAAAAAAGGGCTGTACTGAACCTTTATATTTTTGTGCATTTAAAAAATTTGTAAATATCTATGTACAGTATCTGAATTTGATTTCAAAGGATTTGTTTGGAAAACATAAACTGGAATGTTATTCCACTGGTTTTAGTTCTTTTTCAGAACTCATTTGAGTGCTTAAAGAATTTTCTATTTAATGCTACTTTTAGTAGTACTATTCTCAAATTTCAGTACTCCTCTCAAGTGTTCTTTCTTTGGAAAGAATATTAAAGATGGATTTTCTCTTTTCATCTTGTTTCTTCTTTTCCTCTTGACTGCATTCTTACACAGTTTATATAATGATAAATATGAGAGAAACGCCTGCTGATTTTGACTCACTTTGGATGATAAATATGAGAGTAACCACTAATGATTTTGACTCATTTCTGATTTCCTTTCAGGGCTTTCTCCTTTTATTTTCAGGTTTAATCAGTGCTATTGTAAAAATATTTACTGTCTTCACAGAAGTTCCCAAAGGATTTATGAGTATGACTTGGGTGTATCCTGTTATTCATACATATATAATTGATCCACCTATACATGTTGTTAATTAACTGCCAGCTAAGTACAAATCTCCTTTTTTTTTTTTTCCAAATATAAAATACACTTTTTTCCTGTCATGCTGTGCTACACTTAAAACAGTGTTTGAGGAATTTACCCAGTCTTTATTTAGATATGCTCATCTTGGTAAAAGATAAAAAAATACTTATTTTTGGTAGCTAAACCAATTAGGCTTTTAATTGTTCTACTTTTACTAGACTTAGTATCTGAATTTGGTGCAAGAATATAATTTTTTTCATGAGGTGCCCAGGATTGTCACATTACCAGATTGAAAGTACTTCGAAGTCCAGACTGATTTCAACAATTCTCTGTACTCTGAATCTAGAGTGAATATTCTGTTTCCACTTTCAAATGTTAAGAAATAGTTTATTTTTTCTTTTAAAAGTCTTCATCTTATTTATTTCTAACAAAATACTTATTTAATAACATGGTATTTACTATGACTTCTCAATAGTGTGTGTACTTCTGCAACTTTTACAGAAGCTGTAAGTCATTTATTTGCAGCATAAGGGCTTAGTATTAGTCTGGTTATCTTACAATTTTTTGATAATTAATGTGAATTTTCTGAACTGAAATTGTGGTCATGTATAGCTTACTTTTGACCTGTTCTAGTGTAGAAATCAACCAATTTGTCACATCGTTAATTTTCTGTTCAATTTATATTTTTCATAATCCTTTTCAGATGTTGTTTTCTTTTAACTGAGTTGTATTATTGCCATTTACAATATCAACCCACATAAGAGTGAGGAATAGAGGACAGAAAGGAAAAGTAAGAATAAACAATTTATAGTCTCAATAATTCTTAATTAGCTGCTGCTTTGGATCCTTTAAACGTGGTGATAATTAATGTGGAAAGCTCTGGAAGCCTTCATAAGCTAGCTTGATCATCTGAAGAATGCCGGTACTTATTAGGGAAAGTTCATGATTCATTCGCAAGGATTAAGCCAAGAGAATCTTGTGACCTAAGCAGCCTGGCTTTCCAGTGGTAAAAATGGGATTTTCTTATCTTACAAAAAGTCATAATTGTGACAGACAGCAGGGATGGGAGCAGACAGGATGGTTTGGTTTAGGAGCGAGCAATAGGCAGGCTGTAGGGAAATCGTTGTTTTGGCACGTTGCTGGTACCATGTAGAGATACAAAGTTAAACTGCAGCATACAGTGTTCCACAGGGATGAATCAGAACATTCCTGAGAAATGGTAGTGAGGAGAATTGTAACATGAAATGTGAGGGGGTTTTATGTTCAACGTCTGACTTACCCTTAAGAAATTTGTAGTCATTTGTCTGATTGTTCTTCCCTGGGTTCTAAGTGCTTAAACCCAAACACACCAACATTTGTCACAGTGTGGTAGGTGGACAATTCTGGATGTAAGATTTGGAGGGATGACATGAAATCTAATCCTTCTAGTAGTAAATATTGACTTGGAAGAGTCAGCCAGCTTCAATACTTCAATTTCCACAACTGAGTTAATAATTTAACTACTGATCTGTATGTTTAGAGCCTTGGAAAAAAAAAAAGGCCTTTGAAATATTAACAATAAGGGATGCACAGTATAAGTGAGCATTGCAAACCAACTCCCTAAGACAGTCACATAAATACACTATCCTTTTGCAGAGCTCATTGACATAAACAATCTTGGTTATATTTAGATGCCTCACCACCTCTATTCTTCTCTCCTTTTTTTAGTGCTCCATCTCACTGCATTTGACAAATTGAAGGGGAAAATGAAAGTCACTTTTTTAACTGGAATCTGCAGTCACAAGCACGATGAAAGTAAAACACATATTGCCTTCATTTCTTTTTAAGAATGGATGAATATCAGCAGGCAAAAATATAATCACTGTAAGTAACTGAAGATGCTCTTGGCTTCTTTAAAAACCATGCTGATAAATTTATTACCCTTCCCAATACTGAGATTTCTGGTAGGCATTTGAGAATTTCAGTGGTATCTTTTTTTGGGAACTGCAGAAGTGGGGTCACAGCAAACTCTTTTCTGTGCAATCTTGTATCATACAAAGCAGTTATAAGGAACAATGATGTAAGAGACATACGCAGAGAGGCCACTCACTTTAATATTACATCAGGGGGTTGGTTTGAGCTCTGTGGAGGAAATATATTCAAAGCTTCATGCAAAGAGTTGATTTGTAGGAAAGATTTCCCATCATTACACTCCTGTGCTTAGTCACAACATCTCACATTTACATGTATTCACACCTTCCTTTGCCATCCTGTTGAATTGTGGTTAAAATAAAAAAGTCATACAATGAAAAATATAATCCATAGCAGTACATACAACAAATTCCATTACTATTATAAATTATATCTTTGGTACTATTAGCTAGAGATGTTTTATTTACTAGCATCCATTCCTATAATCAGTGTATGTGCAAGAAGGTATCTGCCCCAGAAAAAAGTGGCCCCTACAAGGTTTTATAATCTTTCAAAAATCTGCACAGTTTGTATTAGAAAAAGTATTTAATTCATGTTTTATTCCAAAGTTATATTTATTGTGAATATCTAAATATACAGAATATACATAATCCTGACATTGTATGGACACGAATTACCTCACTTTTCAACACAGCTTTAAATAACTTTTTATTTAAATAAATAAAATAATAGAATACTTTTCCCATAAGAAAAGAATGAGCAAAATGAGGATTATGACAAAATTTATATATTTTAATTTTCCCAAAAGCATTGTAAAACAATAGCAAAATGTACTTTATTCATTTTCTGTTGAATAAAAAGAATAAAAATTCTTCAGCTCTGCATGGCATTGTATCCAGGCAGTCCTGTTCCTCTATGGAGTTCTATCACTGAATTATGTTCAATGAAGATTACAGGGCTTCTTGCAAAAGCACAGTTTGCACAGGGAAGAATAACACATTTATATATCATAAATAAATACTACTTCTACAATGTTATACAGGTTTAGGATTTAGATTTTGGAGCCAAAACCACCACTATACTTATTGTCTGCTTCTTTATGAGTATTGCCACTATCCATAACTCAAAATTATAAAGGATTTTTTCATAATTGGAAATGGGCTGAGCAATTTTACAAATACCCGGAAAACAGAGATTATTGTAAAACTAATGCTGCATTTTGCGCAGTTTTGCTTTGCAGAATTTATTTTGACAACCTTTAAAAATTTGATATAAGTAACTGAAACTCAGTCTTTATCAACGTTTTTGGAATGTGATGTATAGACTGTAAATTCCACCAGTTCCCTTAAATTCCACAAACAGAGTGGGGTTCCCTACAGAGAGTTCTGGACCAGGCTTGTATCAGAGAACAGCTATTTTCTAAACCTTTTGTAACTATAAGTAACTTGGGCATTTTTGTTAACGGTAGTTGATTTGAATAATCTCATTGTAATTTGCCTTAATTAGGAGATCCCCATTTTTCCCTGCTATAAGGCATTTTAGATATCAAACCAATCCAGGCTTACAAAGCTCTGACAATTAGGCTGAAATGCATTTTTCAAATGGAGCATATTTCAATACTAAATCAAACCTTCCCACAAACACAACAGATAGTAGGAACACTAATAACACATCCATAAGTCTTTCATTAAAAGCTGACATAGATAGAACAATGATAACTAAAGCCATGTGGTTATTTAAAAATATTTCTATTTTCAGAGTATAAATATTTTTTGCAGTGAAATTATAGTCAGTTCTCTCAGAAAATTGTTGTAAAGCCGATTTTCTTGTAAAAGTGAGAGATTTCTGCAGTATTTATATATTCCTATGCATGATAAATGGTGTCAGTGCTGTCTTTTTTATTAGCATGTCTTTCCTACAGTATTTATGACATTAGAGAATTAATAGTATTGGCTGCAGTCAAGCTGAGTGCAGAGAGCACCATGAAGGCTTGTCCTATGTATTTTAACTAAACTATTTCATTTTAGGACAGTCTCTTAGGCTAACAATGGAGCCTGCCTTTTCCAGTAAATCCTTTAAAGTTTTTCCATTACAATTTGTCCATGCTGGTAAAGACTTGAGGAATTCTGATGGAATTGTGTATGTATAATATATACTTCTTTGTTTTGGTGAATAAGTGGTTATCACAGTTAATTCAAGCTAGGGAACGTTTTGCCAGAAAACTTCAATCCAAGAATTTAAAGACCTTACAGCAAACTGTACTACATTGTTCTCTGTCACTAACCCCTAGTGATTCATGTAGGTGATTGTTTAAGGTGGCTGAACTGAAAATGTGCTTTTTATATTATTCATTCTATCATTTGCTTATGGATAAACTTTATGCTACAGGTATAAAACCATTCTAAGATAGGGAGTAACAGGTTTATTAATAATGGGTGTGTATGAAGAGTGTAAATATTGAGCAAAAATGTATATTTGTATTATTGAAACATGGAATCAGTTATTTGTTGTGCAAAGTGTGAAATAACACCACAATAAATCACAAGCAATATTTCTGAACCTAAGTTTTAAGGACAAAATGAAGTTTTCCTGGATGATTTCTGGATTATCCTAGTCATTTGACAGTGCTCTGCAGCTCAAAGCAAGTACCTGAGATGCGTCTCTGGGATTACATCACAACAGCTTTTTATTTGGTCCAACTACCGAAATAATGAAAAAATAATTTTCCAGCTATCAGGCAACATGCCTTTTTATAAGAAAGTCAAGCAATCTCCTTCTTGCCTGAGGTCACACCCCAGCCCAGGCAGTGTTTTGTATGAAGTACAGATACACAGCCGTGGGATGCTGCCCTCACACACACAATTTCTCATTACAGTGGCAACTCCTGCTGCAGCAGAGGAGCCAGTTTAAATGTGCAATTAAGCATAGGATTTATGGTTAATTTGTTGTGTCCTTTCCTCCTAAACCAATAGGAGTATTCCAGAGGAATGAGTACAAAAAACCTGCCAGTAGTAATATCTAGAAGGTCATTATCCTTATTTATTCAGCATGTTAATCCAGCTATCAGTCTGTGTTCCAGAGAAAGCCTCCTCTGGGACAGGCACCAGCCATTTTTATCAACCAGCATTTACAGTCTCCAATATTTAATCACTCTGCATTTAATAAGAGAGGAACTCTTCCTGTTCAGCACAGTTGTATGAATTGTGATTTTAGTTTTATGAATATAGAAAAACTTTGCAGTTTGGTAAATAATTAGGCATGAAAAGGTTAGCCTGGATAAATCCTTCACAGTTGTACTGGTTTCACATACTTCAGACTTACTAATTCTCCAGATTCTACAAGAATCATGACCAAAATGTCTCAAGTTCCATGTCATGGCCTATCACCTGGCATTGCCTATCTGTCAAAAGAATATTTTGTTGTATTTCATTAGAAGCAAAATGGTCTTACAAGTCTATTTACTTAAAGGCACACTAAACTTACGGTTGTGCAGATCAGTTTCTGATTTCAAAGCCTTTTAGAGATGTCAGGTAATAGAGATGCCTGTTTCTGCTGGGTTTTTTGACTAATACCACAGGGATTTTTACAACAGTGTTTAATGTATACTTTTATACTGTGAAAGTTTTATCAATATGATAACAATGGCATAAAAATCTTAGTGACAATAATTTTACAGAGACAATAACTCACTATTTTTGTCATTTAGACTTTATCTTTGATCATGTTACTTCCTGTGAGTTAAATGTCTAATTGCTTTATTTTTTATGTGACATTAGCCTTGTCTAGTTCAATTTAGAATGTGTTTATAGGTAGAAATTATTTCTGCATGATAAATGCATGATGTTTTCTATATTCATGCTCAATTTTATTTTGTCATTCAGAGTATCTGTAGGTTGTAGGAATAGATTTGTGCAGTTTATAAAGTGGTGTCATAAATAGAATAAGCAGCCACAATGAGACAATATTAGAATACTCCCTTTTTTCAGTATTTCTTCTGATCTTGTATGTAAGAAAAATGATGTGCTGACTTTTCATTTTTTAATCCTCTAAGGAACATAGTGACTTTAAGGATAAATAATCCTTCCTTACTATGGGTGTCTAAAATCTAGGGATCATGATAAACAAGAGGACTGTTTATCAGTGAAGAGTAATGGAACTGTCAAATAGTTATTTATCCTCTCACATTATAAGCATCTAAGGTAGGTAGGACTCAAAGAGGAATTTGCTGAGTTTTGAAAGATTCAACTCTGAATCTGAACTTACCTACAAAACCAGACACGGTCTTTAGGGGCGTTAAGCTTTTAAGTTACCCTAAAAACATTAAAATGTTGGGTTTCAAAGAAAAGGGGTAGTATTTCCTTTGCATCTACTAAAGCAAACCAGAAATGTGTATATATAGCTATATACAACTAAATAGGTACTGGTTAGGTCTTGGTCCTTAAGTGATAATTTGTTGCTGTGAGATAGAACCAAGTACCATACATTACCTGCATTCTGAAATGTTTGCTCATTATTTTAATCACTTACATTTAGATCTTGGCTAACAAACTATATAGCTGTAAATCTAAAAATTAAGTAGAAATGGATATTTAATTTATAGTACAGATAATGTACTTCCATATAATCAAAAATCACTTGATAAAGATTTTTTTTTTTTAATTTGTTACTTCACTAATAACTAAACTAGTCATGCTCTGTAGGAGTTCTTTCTAATACTCTTCTCAGTTTATATGCCTCTGTAAAGAACTTACCATTCAGCTCTGTAGTATTTTTTTTTTCCATAGAAGAGGATGTTCTTTCAGTTCCATTCATCTTTACATTCCATTTGCTGCTTTACTAGGATGTCCTGATTTAGGGCACATAGGATTAACAAAGCGTTCCAAGTATTATAACAGGAAAGTAATAGATTCACAAAAATTCTCATTAAAGTCCTTATCTTCAAGTTACAAAAG